AGCCCGTGCGCCCCGGGCCGGGGGCTGGGCGCTCCCGCGCTGGCGGTGGCAGCCTGCGGGGGTCAGACCGCGAGACTGGAGGACGAACGAGGGAACCAGACACAGCCCTGCCAGACGCGCGCCCCCGCCCAGGCCCAAGTGCAGAGTCACCCCAGGAGCGGCCGGCCCTGCCGGGGTTGGGAGCAGGAGCGCGCCCCGCGCCTCCCACCTGCGCGCCCTCCCGGGCTGGGAGCACCGCGGCCACGCGGGAGAAAGACGACTTCCCCCGCGGCTAGAGCAACCGCTTCTCGAAAGTCACGGCCCAAGGGACACTTTGCAAATTTGCTGGGATTTTCTTAGGAAGTCGCGGTGCGACTTATTTAAAACAAAGTGCAAAGTAAACAGCCCCAGTGTCTGCCAGCGTTTGCCTCCAGCCCCTCTGCCTGAAGACTCACGCGCAGTGTGGGCAAGACGGTTAGTTCCATTCCTCGACTTACCAAGTCAGAAGAGGTGGCTGGACATACGCACCAAGCTTATGCCCTTCCTACGCAGAAGGGGAACGAAACAGTCGGGTCCCCTTTCCGAAGGGCGAATGCAAGAGGGAGTCAGAGGGAGATGCCTTCGGCCGAGGTCGAGGAACACACCAGGACCTCGCCATGGGCAGCGTGTGGTCCAGAGGGCATCGCCGGCCTCTCTGCACTGAGCGACCAAGCTCAGTCAACAGCCCAGAGGAGAAATGGGACGCACGGGGTCCCACCCCCGCGCTCCCCCTCCCGCCCCCAGACTGCAGCTTCTTAAGTTGTGCAGACGGGCAATAATTCCTTCGGATCCAGCTGCTCCAAGCCGTAGGCGCCCAGTGTTCCCGCCCCACATCACGCGCCCTCCCAGCTTCCCCCCGCCCCCCAGTGCGCCCTGACCACTCACCTCAGCGAGCGCCTAGCAAGACCACGCGTATTCAAGTTCCAGGCCCTGGGCGAGGGCACGGGAGGGGGTGGGGGAGAAAAGATGTATGGAAAAGGTGGAAGACACTTCGGTGACCTCACTGAAGTACCCTGTGGTGTCTGTGCATTTTCTGATTGTTCCTTGTTTAATCAAAACCAACATTGAGAGTCAGAGAAAAGGGAGCAATGCTTACAGTATCTTGTAGGCTTCAGAGAGGAGGTGCGGCCCCGAGGAAAGGGTAGCGGGAGGCAGGAAGGGCAGAGAAGCTAAAGCATAATAAAACCATCTTCCTTGAAGGCCCGGGGACCAACAGAGTCCAGGATTTTCATTTGGCTCATGGAAGGCAAGGAGGGGGAGGGGAGGGGTGCAGGTGGCTTCGGAGCAGGTGTTCTGGGCCCTCTACCCTAATCCCATGGTTCTTTGGTTCCCCCAACCCTGTCCCCTCTCCTATGGAAGAGGATCCAAAGCATTTATCTATACTGCTGTTTGCAAGCGGCTGAAGAAGGTAATTTTCATATTCAATTCATCATCTTTAGCATAAGATCTAAGATTATTTGAAAAATATGTTTACATTTTATAAGCACCTTAGAAAAATGCTCCCGGATCTCTCCCAGCAGTTAGCTATTTAATCATTTTGAATCACTAAGTTTATCCAAAAAGTCCAGGGTTGTTTACTTGAGAAGAAATATGTTCAGAATCTCCAAGCACTGCAGAAGGCATCTGCACTGTAGAAGAGTTGGCAGTGAGGTCCTTCTCAGGGCACCTGGATGGCACATGTGAACAGGGAAAGCACACACAGTGGGAGTCAGGAAGGGCCCCTGTGGCATCTGGGAGAGCAGAGGACCAAGGGGACAGTCCTCCAGTGTGGGTATGTTGGAGCAGGGTGTGTAGAAGGGGCAGGCACATATTTGAGAGTCACAAGGACTGGGGTTCTCAACCTGCAGAGCCCTGTGGGGAGCCACTTAGTCTTTCAGTCCTGGTTTTGTCATCTATAAGGAAAGCTCCTCCGTCACAGGGTGGTCATGTGAAGTAAATGAAATAATAAACAGGAAAGCATTGCATGGACTGTAGGCATGTCTGCTCCCTGAAAGCTCACCCCTGAATGTTGACTAAGCTTGAGCCAGTCAAAGTGATGAATTCATACACACACACACACACTGAATGTGTGTAGCCCCTCCCTGACCTCATTCCCCTTCACCAAGAGGCATGCTCTGACCTTTCTAACTGCTTCCTTCCCCCCATGCGCCCACCTCCTACCCTATCAAAATGTCTTTATGCCATATGGTATGACATTCCATCCCCTCTTAATTAGCCAGTAGGAGAGCATCTAGACAAGCCATGCATTGACCTGTAGGGAGAAAATAATCAGCTGACAATAGTGCTCACTCCTGTGTGGTTTCACAGAGGAGTCCCAGAGTCGATGGAGACATCTCAAGCCAACGTGGGATGCGTTCAGTCTTTCTTCCCGGTCTCTGTATCCACCTTTGCTCTGGACACTGTCCACCTTATGAGGTCTCCCTCCTACCCACCTACCACACACCCGTGTACGGTCATTCCTTACATATCCATGGGGAATTTATTCCAGGACTCCCTGGATACCAAAATTCTTGGATGTTCAAATCCTTTATGTAAAATGATGTGGAATTTGCGTATAGCCTACACACATCCTCTCATATACTTTAAATCATCTCCAGATTACTAATAATACTTAATACAATGTAAATGTTATGCAAATAGTTACTAGATTGTATTTTTATTTATTTTTTTATTGTTGCACTGTTATTTTTTACTGTCCCTCCCCCCACCACCAATACTTTCTGTGGTGGTTGATTGAGTCTGCTGATGAGGAACCCGAGGATATGGAGGATATGGAGCGTGGACTGTACTCCCTTCCCCCTTTCCACCTGTCCTTGACCTTTTATTCTCACTAAAGTCCAAATAACAGAAAGCCAGCTAGATACCAGCCTTGAAGAAAAGAGAGGTACTATTTTGCTTCTTAAATTGGAACAGGTCTACAGGTAAAAATCAAGACACTCTTCGTCTCTGGCAGGAAGATGGGAAGTGAAAGGATATTAGTAACAATGCTCAACATTTGCTCGGTTGGTGCCTCTTAGCTGCCGGTCGCTGCCCAGCAGCCTGAGTATCACTCCAGCCAATCTGAGTACATGAAACACCTGCAATTCCCCAAACCCACCAGGCTTTTTCATATCTCCCTGCATTCAGGGTGGTGCTTCCTTATCGTAGAACATAGTTCCCAACCACCAAACCCTTTTGTGTTCAACAGACTCCCTCTCCCCTTGGATGCAATTCAACGAATAATTGTGACCCTCTGGGAAGCCCGCTCTCCTATCGTGGGTTATGTATCTCCTCTCCACACTCCCTCAGCACCTTTTATTTCCCTCTTTCATAGCACTTACCATATTGGATTTTAACCATTTATCTTACACTAGACAATGAACTCCTCGAAGGCTGAATTTCCAGGACCTTTCCTAGGATCTGAATATCTGTGAAGTGAATTACTAAAGGCTGTTCATGGGGCTGCTGAGTTCCATCTGCTCCTGGTGGGAACTTAAATTATTTATTTCTATGCTACTTTTTTCCAGGTAAAAAGAAAACATATTAAGCATCACATCTCTCTCTTTGCTTGGATACCAGGACACTCAGGACTAAATCGAAATTAAATTAAATGTAGGTCTTAATTAGCTACAATACTTTTATTCCCATTTATTGCCATGATGATCACACCTCTTTCACAAAATTACTGTATGCTACTTTAACTGCCCTATAGTGTTATTTTTATATTGAAAGTATCTTAAATGTTTATGGGCTTCAAGTCCAAAGACTTGAATTCTAATTGACCTATGCCCCTGATCAGCTTACTGATATTTCCTCTCTGGCTCTCTGTTTGGGGTTGGACTATATGATCTTTAAGGTCCTTGCCAGCTCTGAAAGTCTTTATGTTTCTATAGATAAAAAGGAGACAGTTTATAAATTATTAAAAGAAAAACCCTGTGACAGAGCATGGCCTAAATCTCCAGGCACAAGAGAACTCTCTCCTCAGGTCCTTGGCGTCACCTTCTGGACACCTTCAAGTATAGCCCAAGATGAGTTCTGCAGAACACTCATGCCATAGTCAAAAGGCTTTGGGAAAGTGCATCCTGCATCCCACTAGTAGATACTCATAACACGCTTTAGCACAGAAAAGGCTCTAAGTCAGGCCATGAAAATAATGTGAGGGATGGCCCTGTAGATTGCTCATAATCTGGCCACAAATTGACTTTTCACCACCTTTCGAGCTCTTCACACTTTCTTTATGCCTTACTCATTCCCCAGCTTCTCCCTCCTCTCAACGCTCTCCTTACCTTCCAGCCTGCCAGAATTGACCCATCTTCCCACTGTGCTCACTGTGTGCTGTCTGAGCCTTAGCCCTGCCTCTGCCTGTTCCTATCATGCTTCTTTTCTGCACCTAGAAAATGCCTACTTAACCTCCAAAATCAAGCACAATGTCACCCATTCTGTAAAGCCTTCTCACAAACCAAATTTAGTTGTTTTCTCTACTAGGTCCTATTTTACCTTGTACAAAGCTCCAATTACTGTTATGCTCCTGTACCGTCATTCATCGCCCATTTAGATGGAGTCTCCCACATTAAACTGTGAGCTCCTTGAGGACAGAGTATAATATATTCATCTCAATATCTTCAGATCCCATTATAGATGTTCAATGAATGCTTTAAGAACGAAAAGGTAGATGATTGGATGATTGGATGGATGTATGGATGGATGGATGGATGGATGGATGGATGGATGGATGGATGGACAGATGGGATGGATAGATGGGTAGGCAGGTGGATGGATGGATGGATAGATTGATAAACTAAGTTCTTGAGACTACATGGAGGGTGCAGAAAAGCAAACTAAGGGGAACCAGAGACCAAATATGTCATCTTCATCATTCTTTCTCTGGGGAAATTAAAAACCCTTTAATAGCCCTTCATTTGTAGTGTGGAGTTTAGGGCCTAAGCTTCATTTCCAACTAGAAGAGTAAAGAGTATGTCCATGGCAGAACCTGCTGGACCATCATAATCTTTTTTGCTTGGGCTGGCTGGTTAGCTCAGTTGGTTAGAGTGCAGCCCGTAACACCAAGGTCAAGGGTTCAGATCCCTATACCTGCCAGCCACCAAAAATGAAACAAAGAAATAAACAAAAAATGACAAATAATTTTTTCTGCTTTTTCAGTATCTCTAATTGTTACCTGGGTACTAGGATGATCAACTCTTCCCAGTTTGTCTGGGACTGTCCAGTTTTGAAACTGAAAGTCCAGTGTCCCATGAGCCCCCTCAGTCCAGGGCAAACAGGACAGCTGGCCCTCCTCCTAACTATATTGCTGCCTAGGATAAAATCTACACGTCCTAGCCTCCATGCAGCTAGGACAGAGAGTATGACCGAGTTCCTTCCAGTGGGGCTGTCGGGCCTCCCTGAGCCAGAGGCCGACAAAACCGAGCGGGAAGAGACCCCGGTCC